CTGCGTTGAGGACGCGGCCACTCTGGAGACGTGCCTCGAGAACCCCTCAGCCCACCTCGTGGCTCTGTGTCCTTAAATGACACCGTGCCTGTACTGGCCTGTCCTCTGCTAGCGGCCATGTGGCCAAGACTTGTGTCTTCAAACAGACGGCAAAGTCCTTGAATGTTCCATCTCCACCATCTTCAAAATGCCACCAGCTCAGGGACTGATGTAGAAGCTGAGAGTTTGCAGGGACCTGAGCGGCTGACACCTTAGGGAGGTGAGGAAACTGAGGCTTACGGAGGTGAAGCAGACTGGGAGGAGGTCCTAAAGCTAATGCTGGCCCAGGCTTATCTCCGCAGTTTTCACTACTGCTTCTTTTTCGTGTGTTTTTGTTTTTTACAGATTTATTTATTTTTATGTGCATGAATGCCAGAAAAGGGTATTGGATCCCCTAGAACTGGAGTTACTGATGGTTGTGAGCCACTATGTGGGTGCTAGGAACTGAACCCAGGTTGTCCACAAAAACAAGAGCTCTTAGCTGCTGAACCATCTGTTTTAGTCACTGTACTGCCTAGTTTTATGTCAGCTTGGAGTAGGTAGAGTCATCAGAGAAGAGGAACCAAGAAAAACGCCTCCGTAAGACCCAGGTGTAAGGCATTTTCTTATTCAGTGGTCAGTGGAGGAGCAGCCAGCCATTGTAGGTGGGGCCGTCCCTGGACTGGTATTCCTGGGTTCTAGAAGAAAGCAGGCTGAGCAAGCCATGGAGAGCAATCCGGAAAGCAGCACCCCTCCATGGCTTCTGCATCAGCCCCTGCTTCCATGTTCCTGCTCAGACACCTGAGCAAAGGGGGAAAAGGTGGAAGGAAAAAAAAAAGAATTGCTGTGGTCATGGTGTCTCTTCAAAGCAATAGAAACTCTAAGTCGAATTGTTACACAGAGAACTATGAGTGAAATAACCCCTTTATTTCTCCATTGCTTTTGGTCGTGGTGTTTCATCACAGCAATAGAGAGACCCTAACTAAGACAGTCACTGTTCTATTGCAGTGAAGAGACACCAAGACCAAGGCAACACTATAAAAAAGGCGTCTTCATGCTCCCAATGACTGAAAAGCAAGGAAGCTGCTTTTGCTGTGACACTGATAATTGCAAATGCACAGCTGAAAGGAAGGGGCATGGAAGGCTTTCATGACAACCCCTAACTCTCCAACCCTCCCCCACAAATAACATCAACAAAAAAGTCACAGCTTACATAGGAAGCCACCAGAAAAAAAAAGTGTTAGGAAGAGTAGCCATCCACAATTGATGGCTTCTGGAGGTGAAGTGGTTTTTGTTTTTTCTTTTTTTCTTCTTAATTTTTTTACTTCTTTTTTGTTGTTGTTGTTGTTGGGGAAGGTCACAGGGGGAGGCAGAGCTGGGAAGGGATTGTGATCAGGGTGTATGATATGAAATTCCCAAAAAAACAAAAATGTTATGTGGAAAATTAAAAAGAGGAAGAAGAAAGCATTTGGCTGGGGGCATGCTTACAGCCAGAAGGTTGTCCATGACCATCACGGTGGGGAGCATGGTGGCTTAGCCATGGCCTTGAGGCTGAGGGCTTTACATACTGATCCACTGGCACAGGCAGAGAGAGAGAGAGACACTGGGCCTGGAATGGGATTCTGAAGCCTCGGAATCAACTCTCAGCAACACACCTCCTCCACCAAGGCCACACCTCCTAATCCTTCCACACAGTTCTTCAAGTGGAAACCAAGCATGCAAATATACAAGCCTAGGAGGGCCATGCCCAGCCAAACCACCACACGCCACTCTCTGGCCCCCATAGGCTTATAGCCACATCATAATTCATGCATTCAGTCCAACTCCAAAAGTCCCCACATTCTGTCACAGTATCAGCACTGTTTAAAAGTCCAAAGCTTAAAGTCTCTTCTGAGACTCGTGCAATCTTTCTGTCTCTCTCTCTCTCTTTGGTTTTTTAAGACAAGATTTCTCTGTGTAGCTGTGGCTGTCCCAGACTTGCTCTGTAGAGCAGGCTGGCCTCAAACTCACAGGAATCTGCCTGTCTCTGCCTCCCTGAGTCTAGGATTAAAGGCATGTTCCTCATGCAGTCTCTTAACTGTAACTGCCTGTAAAATAAAAATCAAAAAGCAGATTGTATATTTCTGGCATATTCGTTACTATTCCAAAAGGAGTATACTGAGGAAATATTGGACCAAAGCAAGACTGAAAACAGCTTGGGCAAACTCCAAATTCCATGTCTGATATCTAAGAGCTCTTCAGCTCTCTAACTCCTTTCAGCTCTGTTGACTGAAACACACTTCTCTTTCTCGGGCTGGTCCCATGCCCTGTCAGCAGCTCTCCTTGGCAGGTGTCCCATGGCTCTGGCTTCTCCAACATCTTGCCGTCTCCACGGCAATCCAGACTTCACCTCCACAGCTTCACACAATGGCCTCTGCTTTATGCCTCCCCTTCCATCCGTTTTGCTGGGTGGCAGTTTGCCCTGAGGTCACCACTCCCTGTACTCCATTTAGCATCAGGTTTGTCTTAAATGCGTTACCTCCTTGCGCACTGGGCTTAGCTCCATTACACTTCCTGGTGCTCCTTTCTTCTCAGACTGTACATTTCGAATTCTCCTTGCTCAGCTTGATCCTTTTTTTTTTAATTATTATTGTAGATCTACATAAAATTCATCACTAATAACCTGTCTAGAAATCTTCTCCACCAATGCCATTAACCTAAAACTCTTCAATTTAGTCTCGGGTAGATTTTTATAACAAGGGCAAGAAGTAACCATATTATTTGCCAAAATGCCACAAGAATGGTCTCCTGGCCACTTACTAATATTCTTCCCTCTGAAACTTATTGTGCTGCACCCCCACAGTTCAAACTCCCCTCTGCACTACTGTCCATGTGTTAGTACTACTGGAGAGAATAAGACCACTACCACAATTTTTGAGCCAAATTTGAAGCAAGCTTTTTTTAAATACTGGCTAGGAAAAGACACTAGCCAGGGGCTTACGTGGGGTTCTTAGAGTATGAATTACATTAGTCAGAGTCTTATAAAGGCAAAATTCACAAGGCTCCATACCTTCTGCCTTCATCAGGGGCAAGCATACATCCTGGTGTACTTCCTGCCTACAGATCTCTCACCTGAGTGTAATCAAGCAAATCCTGTGCAGTTGGGGTAACCATGCTGGTTTACAGAAGCAAACCCACATGGCTTGTTATTTCACATGGACAGCAGCCCCCAGCCTTCCGGGAATTATCTGTCCTTGGGCAAGTGGGGCTTACAGGGAGATCTCTTCGGCATGGTAATTTAAACATAAAACATAACTTTAGCTGTCACACGCGCTCCTCCTGGGATGACTCAGAAAGCCCTCCTGAAAGTGTTCGGCCTCTTCTCTAGTCCAAAGTCCGGGGCTCACATTCTGCTAACAAGCAGCATGGTCAGGCCTATCTCAGCAGCACCCCACTCCTGGTACCAGCTACCGTCTCATTACTGCTCCAGTGCTGTGGAGAGGCACCGTGACCAAGGCAACACTTAGAAAGTGCTGATTTAGGGGCTTTTTACAGTCTCAGGTGAGTCCATTATCATCATGGCAGGGAGCCTGGAGGCATGCAGACAGGCATGGCCTCGGAGCTGAGAGCCTTCCATACTGACCCAGTGCCAGGAGAGGGACAGACAGACAGACAGACAGACACAGAGAGGGACAGAGACGGAGCCTGCTGTGGGCTTTGGACACTTCAAAGGCCACCTCACTCCACTGACACACCTCCTCCAACACCTCCACACCTCTTAAGGCTTCAGATCAGCTCTTTAGCTGGGGACAAATCATGCAAATATAAAAGCTGATGGGCCCATGCTCATTTGAACCACTGCACCATTCTCCAGCCCCCTCCCCAGCAGGTTGATTTATTCTTTGACCATGTCGTTCACGGAAGCGGTGCGTCTTGATCATATCCATCTCCAACTTCTGCTCCCCACCAGGCACCCCCAACACCTCCCCATACCCACTTCACGTCCTTCCCTTTTTGATTGATAAAGCCCCTGCATCTGATTGCTGCTGCAGCTGGAATGTTGACTAGTCTCGGGGCCTTGATTTTGTGCTGCAGTGTAATGGCCATGCCGTGACCCCCAAACAGCATTTTACAGCACCCCTCCCCTTCCTTCGGCTCTTACGTTCTCTGTGTCCCTCTTCAATGGTTCCTGAGGCTTGGGTGGGGCCCACGTAGGGCTGAGCTCTCAAAGACAATCATTCTCAGCACTTTGACTAGTTATAATCTGCATCAGCTGCTGCTCACTGCAGAGGAAAGCCTCTCTAGGTGTGTGTGGGGGGGAGTTCTTCCTGAGTGACTTCAAACGTGAGGGCTGCAAGGACCAGGCATTCAAGATATTACTGTTTTGGTCACTGCTAAGCACTTAGCTCAGGTTTCCATGGAAATTCTGTGTATGTGGTTGTTTGAAAGAAAATGGCCCCTATAAGGCCATCAGGAATGGACCTATTAGACACTGTGGCCTTGTTGGAGTCGATGTGGCCTGTTGGAGGAAGTATGTCATTGTGGGAGCAGGCTTTGAGGTCTCAGATGCTCAAGCTCTTCCCGGTATAGCTCAGTCTCCTTTCACTGCCTGCAGATAAGATATAAAACTCTCAGCTCCTCCCAGCACCACGTCTGCCTGCATGCCGCCATGTTTCCTGTCATCATGACTGATAATGAGTTAAACCTCTAAACTGTAAGCCAGCCCCCATTAAATGTTTTTCTTTGCAAGAGTTGGTGTGGTCATGGTGTCTCTTCACAGCATTAAAATCCTAACTAAGGCAGTACCACAAAGGAAGAAATAGAGGTGGTTTCTTCCCTGTGTGTTTGGGCATCTTTTATTCTAGGGCAATATCCACAGCCTGTGTACAAAAGTTCTTCCCCCAAAACAAGAGACTCAAAATTGAGGAAAAAAGAGGGAGACGCCACACCCTTACAGACCAGTCACCACTTTGACTTTATTCTGAGCAAAAGACCCACAGGACTCCACATTATGAAATGGCCTCTGGAACATGCTGCCTTATATTTATCAACTGTGGGATAAAGCACACAAATATAGTCAGTCCTTCATTTCTGCATTTCCATATCCACTCATTCAATCAGGAACAGACTGAAAATACTTGTACATATACATACATCAATAAAAGTAAAATAAATATTTAATACAATATCTTTGACTCTTCAAAATTGTTTCATCAGGCTAGATGTGTGGCACACACCCGCAATCCCAGCGCTTGAAGGCTGAGGTAGAAGGATCTGAAGTTTGAAGCCATTCTGGGCTACACAGTATGACTCCTTATCAAAAACAACAAACAAAAACAACAAAACATTACTTTTCCAAATATTTAAAAGCTATATTCTAGGCTGGAGAAATGGTTTGGTGGTTAAGAACACCGGCTGCTTTTCTAGAAAACCAAGGTTCAATTCCCAGCATCCCCAATGGCAGCTTACACCTGTTTATAGCTCCAGTTCCAGAGGATCCAACATCCTCACACAGACATACAAGCAGGTAAAACACCAATGCACATGAAATAAAAATAAATACGTTTTTTAAATAAGCTATATTCTAAGATTTTTCTCTTTTGATAGCTGACCTATAAATTACAACTAACTCATGTATTCTGGGCTGGTAAGCAGCTGTCAATAAATATCTTTACTTTCTTTCTGGACTGTGTAAGAGACCAAAAACATTTCATATCCATGTTGATCCCTCATTTATGTTTGGCATTTTCTGATTCCAAAGTCTGTCTCTCCTTTTGATCCCACATAACATGACTAGTGTAGCTTAAAGGATACTTACTTGGTCTCTTTTACAGTCAGTTGGGTGTTCTTCATGGTTTCCACACTTTTTCCCCTCAGCCTGAGATCAGGCTCCATTCGCTGTCATCCAGCAGTCGGCTTTGCCTCCAAGGTATTTCCAATGGCATTTACTCTATAGTTCTAAATTAAATATTTCATTTTCACTACAGCTTTGAAAAATGGCTACAGAGGGGCTGAAGAGATGGCTCAGCAGTTAAGGGCATTGACTGCTCTTCCAGCTTCAAATCCTAGCACCCACATGGAAGCTCACAACTCCCTTAGAAAAGATCTGACAGTCTCGCATAGACATGCATGGTGGCAAAACACCAATGCACATAAAATAAAGGCACATAAATTTTAAAAATATTTTTAAAAAGAAAAATGGCTACAGAATTCTAGCTTGAAACCTGGTTTTGCCCAACATAGGTGCAAATATTTTAGTGTCTTCTTTTTTAAAAATATGTTTACTTTTAATTATATGCATACCTGTTTGTGCAGGCATCTGTGGAGGCCAGAAGAGGGCATCAGATCCCGTGGAGCCGGAGTTGCAGGTGGCCTTGCGCAGTGAGCCATCCCTCCGGATCCTATTCAATTATCTTCAGATACCCACTTGCTGCTGGGTCTGCCAGTTGCTAACCTAGCCTTGTTTTCTCTCACTCTGGCGATTTTGAAAACCTTTGCCTTTAGCTTTGTCCTGTTTAGCTTTGATGAGCCTGCAAATAAACTTCATTTATTTAATTTATGTAAGACTCATTGCCATGTCTTAAACCTGATCTGATGTCCCTTTTCCTCTCTTGACATCATTAGCCACTGCTCACTGAATGATTGCCTCCACCTCATTCTTCTCCTTCTGGAATTCCAACTTGATATATATTTGGCCTTTTCATTTTGTCTCCTAGATCTCCTAACTTTTCTTTCATAGTTTACATCTTCCCTCTCTGACATATTCATTCAATCCATGGATTCTCTCTTCAGTTATGTCTAATCTGCTATTAGACATATATTGTGGGTTTTCTCCAATGATCTTTTGCTTTTGTTGTTCTTGTGTTGTAGTTTTGTGTTTTCAAGACAGCATTTCTCTGTGTAGCCTTGGCTGTCCTGGACTCAATTTATAGACCAGGGTGGCCTTGAACTAAGAGATCTGCCTCTCTGTGCCTCCTGAAGGCTGGGATTAAAGTCGTGTGCCACTATGCCCAGCTCCAATGATCTTTACCCTTTCCACTTCTAAATATGCCCTTCTTTTTAGAATCTACTAAGTTTTGGCCATCAAAGCAAACAAACAAAACCACCACCAACAACAAATCTTTTTCTGTGCATGGAGTCTCATGCCTTAAGTCAGCATTCAGGAGGCAGCAGCAGGTAGATCTCTGAGTTTAAGGCCTGTGTTCTCCAGGAAGGATGGTCCGGGTCCCTCTGTGCTTCCCATGCTACAAGAGCCTCCTGGTTCACTGTTCTCCCTCTCCAGTCGCTACTCTAAGAACAGCTTGCCTGGCCTTACATCTCCAATCTCCAGCTCCAGCTCGATTTCTTCTGCTGTTTACATGACCCCGAACCCTCGGGATCTGAACTCCCCAAGAAGCTAACCCTGCCCAGCCAGCAAGACACCCCTGGTCTCTTCTCTTGTCCCAGAAGTTTGTTGAAAAAGACGTGTCTCTCAATAGGAACGTGAGGTCCCTGGGGCATGGCTGACGTCTGCCTCTCCCTGGTTTTGCAGATCTCAGATTTTTTTTTTTTTTTTTTTTTTTTTCTGAGACAGGGTTTTTCTGTGTAGCCTTGACTGTCCTGGATTCACTTTGTAGACCAGGCTGGCCTTGAACTCACAGAGTTCCCCCTGCCTCTGCCTTTAGAGTGCTTTGATTAAAGGCATGCACCACAAATGCCTGACCAGATCTCAGCTTTGAGCAGAGTGGCAGAGTGGCAAAGCTGAGTAAAAATGAAATTTTAGTAACAAATACGAGAGTTGAAAATAGCTGTGAAAAATAAAATCAATTGAATCTGAACAATTGAAGTACTAGGACCTATTAAATTAAAAGCTAAATTGATGACATTAATATGTGAGAAGGTTCATTTTAAAGCCACTCAAAGAATTATTCCCAGTTAAAGTGTTAAAATGGCCAGGCATGGTGCATGCCTGTAACACCTGAAAGGCAGAGGCAGGCAGATCTCTTTGAATTTAAGAGCTACATGAAAGTTCCAGGGTTACATAGTGAGACTCTGTCTCAACAAAACAAAACAAAACAAAACAAAACAAAACAATAATGAGATAAACTGTATAAAAGATAATATATTTTTAAATTAGAATTAAAAAGAAATCTGATTAAAGTGGTCCAAACAGAAGTGTGAGGTAAAGAATTAAGTAGATAGTGAAGGTAGAGCCACCTGGAGAGGTGGCCCGGGGGTAAGAATGGATGCCCCGATTCAGTCACTGGACAGTTCACAACTACCTGTAACTCCAGCTCCAGGAGTCTGACGCCCTCTTCTGGCCTCCATAGGCAACAGCACTCATGAGAGCATACACAGAACTTAAAAAGTAAAATAAATCTTTAAAACAACAACAAAAAGCTCTTGATGATTTCAAGACAAAATTAGAATAATAAAAAGTATGCTAACTGTGGTGGCACACCGTTTAGTCCCAGTGCTAGAGAGGCAGAGGCAGGCAGATCTCTGTGAATTCTAGGCCACCCTGGTCTAGACAGTGAGTTCCAGGACAGCCAGGGCCTGTCTCAAAAGAAAAAGAGAGGGGCAGGGGAGGAAAGGAGAGAACTCAGGCAGAGAGATAGATGGACATGAATGCCAGGATCCCCTTGGTAAATAGAGCACCCTGTTCAAGAACACAGATTCCTTTCCTCTTTAGAGTTAAGCAAGCCAATGGAAAAGATAAGTACTATTAACCTCTGATTTTATAGATAGGTAAACTGAGGCTCAGAGCAATGAAATGACTTGCCTAAGGTCATCTAGTCATGAAGGAGCTAGCCAGACTAGGATTTGGGCTGCTAAGTATTGAGGTTCACCATTCTGCCACAGGGTGAGTGGGAGAGCCACCCATGCCGAAGCACCATGCTTTCTGAGGCAGGAGTTAACCTGAAGCCTGCAATGTGAGGTCCCCACAGTGTGTTAAGAACAGTGAAGAGCTGACCTTACCTTAGTGTTGGTAGGGTCCCTTTGTGGTGTCCTCTGCATTGTGATAGGACCGATGAAATCTTCCACAATGACACCAAGCAGTCCCTTCAGTGATAAAGCCCAAGGAAGAAACAGCCAAGGAACTGGTCCCTGGGGAAAGAGAAGTGGAGATTTCCAAGTAGGGAAAGAGCCTTAGAGTAGGATTAGGGCCCTGCCTGTGACAAACTCAAGGAGGCCGCCTGAGGAAGGAGACACCAGAGAGAACAAGGGAGGGTTGTGGAGACTGAGCACTATTATCAGTGGCATTCATTCATTCATTCATTCATTCATTCATTCATTCATTCATATCACTCATCCATTCTTTCATTACCAGCTCCTGGGGGCCAGGTACTTGAAGGGAACACAGCAGTCTGGTGTTTCCCCTGAAGGAGCTTACGGTGTGTGTAGGGACAGAGAGTAAGGAGGCTCTGCGCCTTCGCCCACTCAGCAGCGAGTGTTTGCTCGGAGAAGCCAAGGGGATGTGCGCGGCACTCTGCCCCGACTCTCAGTTCCTGACACATGAATCAGACACACTGCTGATCACCCCCAGAGGCCAATGAGACTAGCCACAGGGAGTTTCCACAAGGCAGTGGGCAGAGGCAATACTTTCCAAGCTGAGCACTGAGTGATAAGAATGGGTTTCTTTAGATAAGACTTGATTTCTTTTAAAAAGGAAACAATAAAACAAAGTTAGTATAAGGACAATAGAAGATGCCATTGGTGAAATTTCTCCCTTAGTTATAAGGGGCCTGTGTGTGTGTGTGTGTGTGTGCTGACAATGGAGATTAACCATTATAGCAAACATCCTACACATGGCTTTGGGGAACTATTCCAGTCCCAAACTGAACCATCAAGTGAGGGTAAATTGCCTCTAACTTAAAGCATGAAAAGCAGGGGGCTGGAGAGAGACGGCCCCGCAGTTAAGATCATTGGCTGCTCAATCGTGAGAGCTGACATTTGGGTCCTAGCACCCACATGGGATGCCAGACACCTGTAACTGCAGCTCCAAAGACCTCAGGCACTGCACACACGGACACACTCACACCGATGCATGCGCGCAGATAGACATAAAGTAGCTCGGACGGTGGCAAGCAAGGTGTGCCACAGTTCTCTCTGTATCAGTGAGTTCCGACCCCAGGCCTGTGTACACCTGGCGCTCACTTTTTCAGCCCTCACACCAGCTGTGTGAGATGGGCTCTATCACTGTCCCCATTTTACAGCTGAGGAGACTGAAGTCTCAGGGGCTGAGACCTAGAGTGGGCCTCAGGCACTTGCCTCTTCTCTGGGGCCTCTTCTTACCCAGGATGCTCAGCGGCTTTGGCGTGGAGCTTCAGCGCAGGCTTCACTGCGGAGACGCCTCTGCTGCTCACGTCGTCTGCCCTGACCCTTCCGCTTCAGGATACAGCCTTTCACTTGCTTCCATGTGCCACTGGCTTCTCGTTTCAAGTTCTGTGTGGCACAGCCCCACACAGTCAGAACTAGGTGCCAAGAGCAGCAGGACTGTGAAAAGGGCCGTCTCCCTGCTTCGCTACCTCAGGCCACCCTAGCCCAGAGGTAGCCAGAGCACAGGCCCTGCGGGCATGCGGGTGCCGAAGTCACTAGAGCTACTCGCCCAGGCAGCCTCCCAGCTCCGTGTCAGCCGCAGGCTCTTAGCCCATCCATCATCCAGTCCTTAAGACATATTAAAATGGATTTAAAAAGGCATTTCACATTTTCTCTCCTTAACATCCACATTATTACCACACATCGGCTTTTGTTTTAATTAAAATCGGTTTTGAAATCCTCCATGAAACTTCAGTGGGATTGTTAAAGGCGGCAATTTCCTTATCGGCATTGCTTCCCCGCAACATACTGTAATAGTTAGTTTGCAACAAAGCACAAGTCTTATTAATTTAGCTCAATCAAATCAGCGCCACGTTAATTTACGGGGCTGTAAAAATCTGCCAGTGCGGCTCAGATCAGAGAACTTAGGGGCAGGCGGGACACCGAGTGGGATGTTTATTTTGTACGATGGTCCCTAACTGCGTCTGCGTGATTGAAGAGCTTTCTGAGGCGGGCGCGGATAACAGCACAAGCGTGCGGCATCGTGTGTCTATGCCCCATTACTCCCTGCAGAGACCCAAAATCATTTGGCATTCAACTCCTGCCTGAAATATTTCCTTTTACATACAAATATTTTTCCTGCTTTAAATGGCTTCCCTATGTTAATTTTTTCTTCCCTTTTTGGCTCGTTGCTGTGAAACAAGACACCTCCCTGCGTGGGCTTCTATTTTGGTCCTGCGCTGAATCTCACTGGTATTTGCTAAGTGAGTAGTGGGCTTTCCCCTTTCCCTGCCCTCTCTCTTCTTTCCCCCCAAACGGGAAGCTCTCGAAGCTTCCACGGATGGGGTTGTGGATTTTCTGCCTCCTGGCTTCCTTTCACTCATGCCTTCTTCAGTGACTAAGAACGTTTACGTCTCTTGCTCCCGTCTCAGCAACAAAGCTGCAGAAGGTTGTAATGATTTGCCGGGAGGGGCAGGCTGAGCTGCGCGCGCAAGGGTCGAAAGGCACTATGGGTTGGGCAGCTGCCGCAGGTGGCCGGTGGGAGAGGTGGAGGCTCGGAGGAATGCGACTTGCCTGCGGCAGAGAGAGCCCGGGTCCAGAGCGCTCAGCTCAGATCTGCCTGTTTTGAGGCACGGTCTGAAGTAGACAAGTTAGTCTGTAGCTCAGGGGGACTTTGAACTTTTATCCTCCTGCCTTTACCTCCAAATGCTGAGAGTACAGGTGTGCACCCCCACGTCCAGTTTATGTCGTCCTGGAGAGCAAACCCAGGGCGCTTCATGCTGCTAGGCAAGCAACAGCGCTGCGTCCCAGCGCAACCCCCATCTTCTGAGTCCTTGAGGAGACCGTGGGATTAGCTGTGGTGGATGCGGGAGCTTACTGGGACAGAGGCTTAGCTTTGCAGTGGGGGGGGTCGGTGGAGAGCGCGACTCTCCCCTTCTCCTGCAAGGCCACACCCAGGTTTTCAACACCTAACTCCACAGGCGGAGAGAAACTGTCGCCTTGAAGCTGGGGCGCGCTTCTGCGTGCTTCCGTCCGCTGCAGGGCTGTGCACACGAGGGCACAGAAACCCGTGTCCTCCCACCCTCGCTGGCTGCCAGCCTCAGGACACGCACTGAGAGGAGAGTCTCACCGAGGGTTTCAGCCTCTGAGGTCCGCCGACCTGCAGCACACTGGCCAGCTCTGGTACCTGTCCCTGGCGTCTGTGGAGAAGGTACTCCGCTGATGTGACGTTACCTGCGGAGCTCCTCCACTCACTGGTGCTCTGTTGTAATCTGTGGTCTACAGTGTCCTGCACAGGGGAGTGCGCTTCTACGGCCTGGCCAGCAGGGGGCTCTTGGTGCCTGGAAGGGGACTCTGTCCACGGGAATGTTTGACTCCCAAATGCCATCACAATTTTTTTAAATTACACTTTCATTTGCTTTGTGTTTCTGTGTGTTTGTGTACAGTGCATATGCAAAAACCTGAGGAAATTTTGTTATTTGAGACAGGGTTTGTCTATGTGAGTCTATGTGGTCTACAAACTGAGTCCCATGCTGTCCTGGACTCACTTTGTAGACCAGGCTAGCTTCAAACTCACAGAGATCCACCTACCTCTGCCTCCCCGAGTGCCGGGATAAAAGGCGTGCACCACCATGCCTGGCTGAGTTCCAGGGATTGAGCTCAGGCCTTCAGGCTGGGCAGCAAGCACCTTCTCCTCCTGAACCATCTCATCGGCCTTTAGTTGTTGTTGGTTTCTTTCTTTTTTTTTTTTTTTTTTTTTTTCATTTTGTTTTGTTTATTTGTTTTTGAACTGTAAAGTTCAGGCTGGCCTTGAACTCACAATCCTCCTACTTCTACCTCTTGAGTGCTGGGGTTTTACAGGCTCTTGACACCCTTCCTAGCTCCTATTATATCTTAATGGCAACATGGGATTTACTGAGACAGCCAAGGCCGGGTTGAATGAAGCCCTTGGGGGGACTTACGTCACCCATGCCAGTCTCTTCGGGAGAGCACTGTCCCTTCATCACCTGTGGCAGCCCATCCTGTCTCATCTGCCCAAGGCCACGAGGTCCCAGGGCAGCCTGGTGTCAGAAGCCCTGATAAACATCTCCAGCACGTCGCCTAGATGGGCAGGAGGAACGGCAGTTCCCTCAGCTCCTCACCTGGGCACGGAGAAGCGGAGATGAAGGTGAGATGGGGAGCTGTGACCCCTGCATGCCGGAGCGGTCAGAGCTACCTCCCACCCCAGACCTCTGTGAGAAATGGAGCCTGGAACATTCCAGCACAGGTGCATTTCTGGGCTCGTCCAAACCCTGTGCCCATGTGCTGGGAATGACCACCTCACCTGGGAGGCAGGCGTTAAGAATCTACTGGGGAAAGGCTCAGAAAGACTTCATGGCTTGCTGGTGGAGGAGGAGTCCTGTTGAGAGGTTCACCAAAGATTTGACAATAGTTGGCCTACATACTGTGAGCTAGTGTTGGACTATGGTCTGGAAAGAAACCTTTCGTTTTGCTTTCTATGTACGGAGTGGTGGTGGTATTTGTTTGTTATTGGGGGGGAGAAGGTTGGAGGGAGAGAGTGTGTTTCATGTGGCCCAAGCTGGCCTCAAACTCACTCTGTAACTGATGCTGTCCTCAGAATCCCAATTCTCCTCCTCAGGTTTCTGGGTGCTGAGACTGCTGGTGTGTGCTGCTGTGCCTGGCTCAGAAAGCATTCTGGATGTCCTGGACGACCAGTCCTCAGGAGCCTGTGACCTGTGGTATCTGCCGCCTGATGAAGAGCCCCAGACACCTGACAAAGAACCTGGCTGGAGGCTTTAACTGCCAGAGAGAGAAAGGGCCCTAGCTTAGCAGCTTTTAAAATGGTTTCCCTCGCCCAAGGCCTCCTGTCAGGCCACAGAGTGCCTCTGTGGAAGTTGGAAGGTGATGCTCTTAGGAAAGCCCCAGACCTGCTACAGTGAACAGCCTGTACAGCCATAGCTGGTGGCTCTGCCACATGGCCAAAGTTCCTGGACACATTTTAGTTCTTTTGTGAGAAGATCCAGGCCTAGACTTCCCCCTAAACATTGAGATCACCCCAGAGTGAAGCCAAGATTCCCCCCAAAGGTGAAGGAAGCTGTGTCCTAACACAGAGAAAAAACTATCAGGTACTCAGCTTTTCACACCAACCCACCTCTTCTCCTTCCCAGAGGGGACAGGAGACAGGCCAGGCGTGCCAGAGGACCCGGAGCTTCCTTCCCTCTTCACACAGCTCTTGATTTGTTTTCCTTCCCTCTTCACACAGCTCTTGATTTGTTTGTTTGTTGGGCGTGTGTTTTGTTTTGTTTGGAAAGAGAGAAAGAAAGCCCATGAGCTTGGTCGGGTAGGGAGATGGAGAGGATCTGGGAAGAGTGGAAACATGATCAAAATATATTGTATAATTAAAAAAATAAGTTTAAGTTTAAAAAAACAGAGAAGGCTTTCCAAAGAAGTGGAACCTTTCCGTGGCAGATGGCGGATAAGTGCGAATGGTAAATAGTTTTAATTACTGCATAATGTAAGTGAGACCATAAAGGAGAGACAGTGTGGGCAAGCTGCCGCCGCTGAGGCCCCCAAACTGTTGTGGGCCCCAATTTGTCTGGCATGTGCTGTTCTCAGTCTTGGGAGGGCTTTAAAGAGAACGCTGGAAATATTAATTGCCTGCCTCGCTGGCTCATCCATCTTCACAACCGAGTAACACGCTTTTTTAATTTCAGGGGAATCGTTTTCAAATGGGAATCATGCAAATGAGTATTTTAGCTATTCATTTGTTTTACTGCGAGCGCTTTGTGAGCAAATGGCCTACAGCTTGCAATGAATTAAAAGACATGGGCACCGGAGACCGATTTTTAATACAAAGTCTTGACTGGGAGACGACCCCGACCAGCGGCACAGAAAATGTTGGCATAGCAACTTTGGGCATTTTCATGCAAATTGGCTTCTATATAGATGATACGAATGCAATGTTTTCCTTCAACTAATCATCATAAAATTAGTTTCACTATATTTAAATGCCTCCACTTAATGCATTATATCCATATGCATGAAATTGCCTCCGCTAATGTAGTACATAAAATGCCAGAGATACAATGAATAGCCAAATTGCACGCGGCTATGTTATCTCCCATTAAAGTAGCTCCCCTCCTCCCTTCTTTTTTCTTTTCTTTCTTTTTTTTTCTTTTTCTGTGAGTGTGGGTGTTCCTGAATGTGTCGGTGCCAAAGGCATGTACCACAAATTGATATTAACACACTCAAAGTCCTCTACAGTTAAGTAACAGATTGCACCTCAGTTTTGACAGAAGCTAGTGAGGGGGAGGGATGGGCCTGGACATGCCCACCTAGGCTGTCTGACCTTTCACAGGCAGGGTCTAGAATCCCAGAGGCCACAAAGCAAAGACTGCCCCCCCCCCACACACACACACAGCGGAGCTTTGAATGGGGAAGCCTGGGAAGGAAGGGTGTGTCCAGTGAAACCTGCAGACCCAGGATCCTGTCAGAGATAATGAAATGCGAAGCCTCTATCCCCGAAGCTTACCCCGTGCCTTGAGAGGGGAGAACTCTGGCGGGAATGAGCGAACCCAGTCAGGCTGCAGCGCCCTTGGATGGTCGCTGGCTTTTTAGAGCCTGAAGCTAAGGAACACATCCCAGGTCGCAGCAATGGGCAGTTAAAGATGGATTTTAACCTTTGCCCCTCTAGT